GCTGACATGCTAACACTCAGCTGTAGCTGTTTTTTTTCTGAGCCAGAGTATCTGCAGGCATTACAGGTGAATTAACCAGCATTCTGCTCCGTGGGTCCATCTTGCCATCAGTGTTGTTGCTGTCGCTGTATCTTTGCTTGTCTGGCTGCTTCTACAAAAGATGCCTTTTAATAGTGTTGGCAGCTAAATGTTGGGAATTTGATAGCCAAACGCTGAGATGCCAAAACAGTGATTGAAAATGTCCATTCTAATCCCAGGACAGTGTCCTAGCATCAGTGTAGTACTGAAAGGTTGCTGAAAGCCCTAGACCTTCCTTTGGCCACACTTTGTTGTCTCTTGAATTTCTTTAAAGTGCCGTCCATTGTTTTCTGCCAGTCACTCTTGATGAAGTGTTTTCCTCATTAGCAAAGCAACCATATATGTAATCCTGCCTGATTTACAAGAGAAGATACACAGCAGCCTGGAGCTGAAGCTGCTCCACTCCTGGCATGACTCAGAAGCAACAACATGAGTGGTGCTACCAATGTACAGTCAAAACTGCTGGTAGAGGCAGCACTGAAAGTGTTTGGGGCCTGTTTCAAAACAGTTGTGGTCAAATGGCAGGGAAAGGGTAGAGCAGAGAAATTAGCCTTCACATGTAAAACTACAGCTGAAGACAGATACCAGTACCTGCTGTGGATCTGAAAGTACTGAAGGCAGAGGAATGCATTTATGTTGTGGACAACATCAACTATAAATCTTAATTGTCTGTAGCATTTAATAGTCTAGAATTCAGCTCAACATGTAGGCAGCATCACCTCACCTTTCACTGCTGTTAGCTCAGGCCCTGACTTGTTTGGAGAATTGTCATTTGAAAATATTATGTATGCCAGTAATTATGCCAAACTGTTCTGTCAGTGGAGTGGATCAAGCAGTCAAAATGATGCAGCGTTTACAAAGTGCTTAGTTTCTCATTTGCTTACTACAGCGTATGAATAAACATTAAGCCGTGGTTGACTCCGAAGGAAAACTTTCCCACAAATTCTTAGCGCTTCTAACCTATATTTGGGAAAGATATTTAAAAATCACTGGTGGTGTGCAGCTCCAGCTCTGGGGACACACTGCATTTGGAAAGTGTTTATTGGGCTGGGACATGATTCTTCGCTCTGTTTCCAGTTCAGGATCCCGACGTGTCTCAGGCTTTGCTGACAAAAAAGGGTTTCCTTCCAACAGCACTGTGGGAAAAACACAGCTCCATTTGAATATTGTCTGTATGACAGCTTCCTCAGGCTCTGCAGCTGACAGCAATCCTGATTAAGGGTTACACGTTCAAAAAAATCTCACAGTAGGCAAGGCCCTGCTGACTTATTAAAGTTACTCACATGATGACTACAAAATCAACAGTTGTTTTTCCCGTATAAAGACCTGTTTGAAAAAAGGTCTTCAGGAAGAATTGTTTAAATACAAAATAAGTATTGGAATTTTTTTTAAGAAGCTGCCACTCAATTCACACTAGAACAAAGTCGGAATCATTCATTCAAGGATTTCTTCTTTTTCAATGGAACATTAGGTAGATTAACAAAACAAAAGCATTCATAGCTCAACGTCCTTGCTGCCCGTTGTAGCTTTTGAACAAACCCATTGCTGAGTTTTCCCTTTGGACCTTTTTCCCCTAGACTGATTAGCCAGTGTTTGTTGTCTGTAGTTTTGTAATTTCCACTTCTTGGGAGAAATGTAAATTAAGACAACTTCATTATCTCAGAGCTTTGTATTTCCGTGAAAAAAAGGCAAAAGGTTTACTGTTAAGGCTATGTGTGAAAAGCCACCTTCTCATATGTAAAGAGCTCAGCCGTTTGTCTTTGTTTTGATGTGGGTGTGGATTAAGCGTTTAACAAAAAGTGTTGGTAAAGTTCACACTACTTAATGCTTTTGTGAAAGCTTGCTTACATACAAACTTTCTAAAATAAAACATAATTCAAGGCTTCTCAATAAACAAACTTATTTTAATTCCTTCTTTAACTCATTGATACTCACCTGGGAGCCTTTGCTCAATTTCAATACTGTCTACATCAAAAAGACGTCCTATCTTTCATATGGGAAATCTTGGATGATTTTCCCATCCCTAACATTTGTTCTAATAAAAGACATTACCTCTTCCGGCAAACCTTGGTTTATAATATTGCAAAGCATAGCAGAAATAGATGGTATTCAAGAGGTTATTACAGAGAGATTTTTGAATAAGAGTCTGAAAAGATCAGAACTTTTTTAGAGAGGGAACCAAATATCTAGCAGATGTATATTTAAAAAAATTTAAAAGCAGAAAGGAAATAAATCTGGTTTCATTGCATCAGTTTATAGCCTAGTGACCAGAATGAGGTTCGTGTTAACTGTATTTCTGTTGCATTGAAAATGAAGTTTGTTAATTTTACTTTGATACAGTACAGCATTACGCTGCTTTTTTTTTTTTTTTTTTTTTCCTTAATATAAGGGATTTTAAGGGATTAATAGCTTTACCAGGAAACTTCGGTGATTTGAAAACTCCCCAGGGAAAGTTTTACTTCCATTTCTTTTGCAGTCAGGTTAAAGTCACTTCCTACATCTGCGTGGTTATACCATTCGTGCATGACAAACATGGGCAGGTCATCATGATTTCTAATTAGGACATGTTTTGGGGACCCAGGAAGATCTTATTTTCCAACACCAACTCTGCAACTGATTTAATGAATAATTGTGGGCAAATAATTTGGTCTTTCTACTTCAGTTGCTGCATTTATAACATCTCACCTCAGGAATAACATCCAATGAGGCTGTGTGTGAGTTTTGATCAATATAAGAATGTTCCTTACGTTAAAAAAGGATTAAAATTTATCTCACAGATATCACAGGCAATATCATTATATACTGCAAACATTTTTGAATGTCAATGGACTGAGACATGGGAATATATTCTGAGCTAGAATGGTAAGGAGTTGACAATTTTCTTGTGGGTTTTTTGTCTTTAATAGGAGAGCCAAGCTTGTCTTACTCACACTTTTGATATCAATGTGGCTGCTGTCTTGTAGGATGGGATTGGTGACTTGCAGAGTAAGAGTTGTGAAGTGTTGCCCTAGAAGGGTAACTTTCTGCAGGATGCAACAGAATTCTGTGATTTCTAGCAATGCTAGTGGCAGTTATGGGGGAAAATATTGTCATAGGGCTGGAAAATAGGGGCATATGCTATTCATTTTGACTTAATTTTTTTTTTTCAGTTAATATCTATTATTTCTAACAAGAAATAATATTCCATAGTTCTTTGCTTTAAAAATCGACTTACTGGGGAAATGGGTATAGTCTGTTCAGGTTTTCCTTGTTCACCAGGATAAACCTATCTACCTAATTGCATTCCACAGCATCCAAACTCTAGCATTGATTGAAAAAAGCCCCCAGACAAACAACAAACTTCTCTTTGCAACTAGATTATCCTAAAGCATTTAAAATGCATCTTTGTAGAGCCTAGTAAAGCAAACACTTCACCCGGTTAGTAGTTATCATGAGTAATTAATTGTTAACAGTGTTCTCAGGAAAAGCGTGACATTCTGTTAATGTTCTGCAAGAACACAGAAATACAACCAAGGGAGAAGTTTGTTGGGAGCATCACAAAGATAGCTGACACAGAACTAGAGGAGATTGTAAAGTGGGAGAAAAGGAAGGAAGATTAATTAATGATACATTTCCTGGCATTTACCTTTATGGTTTCAAATCTTGTGGTAGCATCTCTCCTCCAACCCATGAAGAAATATAGGAGTCTGACTCCTGTAAATTTAGTGAATTTGTAACAAAGATGTGTTCTGTAGATGACATTTTTTGTTAAAAGCAGTGTTTCTCTTGAGTTTTCAGAAGCAATTGCCTTTTCCAGATGGGTGATTTCCATTTCATGTAACCCAGTACAGAATTACTATTTTGCTGGCTTAGTGAAAACTCTGTAGTAACTGAAAGTAATACTCCTGTTTAGTTTTTCTGATTCTGAGTGGGACCTTTTTAAAAGGATATTCTTCTACTAATAAAAGGGAAATTATTATGACAAAGTGATATAAATCTCCTAGATAAAAGTGCCAGGCCACTGTCTGGCTAAGGGCACCAATGCATATTCCCAGCAGGGCACTGGTATTATGTGTATTTCAGTCTTGCACCTCTTTTGGGCCAGGGTATCACCTCTCCAGGGAGGTCTGCCTAATATTTGAAGAAGCTTTAAAAAGGGAGAAAAAATAATATGCGTGTTCTGGGAGAGGAGAGAAGTGGAAAGAGAGAAGAGGGAAAGGCATGACTGGAGAAGGAATGGCAGTAGATAGCACAGTAAGTTGAAACTGGGAAATTATGTGGCTCACAGAAAAAGCCTTTGCTTTCAAGAGCGTCCAAACCACTGCCTCCTTCTCCTCCTCGGTGCCCTTCCCTCTGCTGGCCCAGGGTGAGCCAGGCTGCTGCCACGGCAGCCCGGTGGTTCTCCCTTTGCTGCCCGAGCCCAGGCTCACCGGTTTGGGCACGGCCCTCTGGAAGGCAGCTCTGAAGGGCAAGGCTGCAGGGCAGGAGGTGCTTGTCTCAGGAGGCGCCTTAGCAAGCAGAAGGTGCAGGTGTTAGGGAAATGAAGGAAGGGCCCGGAGGCAGTGCTTTGATGAGGCTCTGAGGAGTGCAGAGAACCAGCTGGAGATGCTGGGGGCTCCTGCTGGAACACGGGCAGCAGGATTGCCTGGATGAAGCCTGCACATACTCTGCTATATATTTTTTCATGCGAAGATTTGGGGCAGGGGGAACAGAAGGTGGGCACTGTTTCACTTGAAAAACTGGAGCACCTGGGTTGGGACAGGCAAGAAAGTGAAGATAGGAGTAAATGGGAATGAAACAAAGAAGGATGACAAAAGGACTGAAAATGCCTACAATACTTTAAAAAAACAAATAGGAGTTGGAAAACTTCCCAAAGCTGGGAAGTTACTTAAACTGGTTGTTTCTTAAACATTGTATCAGCCTTGAACTTTCTCTTGCTTTAGCAGCTTGTGAAGACTGTTCTGGGAAGCAAGGCTGAAGGTAACGACACCACCTCGAATGAAAAGTGGAACATCTCTCTGGCTAGCTGGTGATGGAAAAATTTCCTGTGTCTTTGTTTCTCTAAAAATTATGTCGGGTCATTTTAAGTATTTAATCATAAAACCTTCCATGTAAACAATGTGTCCTGCTGTCCAATATTAGCAATGGCTTTGTCTTGATTGCAAGGTTGTCCTTCAGTGACATGAAAGGATTAGGACAGACACCCTCCTTCTTGTGAGGCAGCTCAGTAAACAAATGCAGTTCTTTGGAATACCTGACAAGATCTGCATTTGTGTTACTTAGATCAAATATCCCCCCTGCCTCAGTGGGCTACTGTGGTGTGGGAGGAACAGTCAGTGGCAGGAGCAGAGGAAAACTTAATGCCAATGTTTCTGTAAAATCCACATAGTTCTTTGAAGCTGTATCATTTAGGATCCTGTTCTACAGTGGCTTTGTTAGAATATTTACAAGTTCCTTAAAATTCTTCCCTCTTACTGACATCAGTTTGAATTTGCAAATTGCTTTTCTCACCTTCACTGATCACTTTCTAATACCTGCCTGAGGATGCAAAAGCATGACTCAGTGGATTATCACCTGTTTATTGGTAAAGTCAGCATATGAGCCTCTCAACACTCTTCAACTGTGCTTGTCTAGACTTGGATAAAATCTTAATTTTTGAGAACATGTTAGCTAGCTTCAGCCTAATCATCTAAATCCCATGACCATGCTAATGAAATTGCCCAGTCAGTATCAGAAATTAAGACCATTTTACAGTTCACTCACTAACAAGCAACAAGATAACCACTCTATTATTGTGCTTAAGGCAAAACTTGACTAGTTTGGGGCATGTGATAAAAAGGGGGAGTCCTACATCTTAATGGGCTCTGGACAGTAGAAAGATAATTATTGGAAACTAACTCCACACTTCCATGGCCCTCAAATGTGTTGTGCTCATACTTTTGAATCACTTCTGATCTAAACTGCCTGCTGTTACATTCTTTGTTCAGAGTATTTGCCCAGCAAAAGTCTAGACACCTCCTTTCTATGCTTGGATCCCTTTCTGCTCAATTGGTGATTTGAACTGGCCTAGGAAAAGGGTCTGACAAGCTCCGAGGAGTGCAGCTGGTAAGCAGAGTGATCATGCTGCTGTGAGAAGACTGGGGAGGCCAGGTGAGCAGCAGTGGTGAGCTCTGAACTTCATTTCCACCAACTGAACATTTTTAGAGGGTTTAACAAAGCAAAGAATTTTGACAGCAGTGGAATCCACAGATGAGTTGAGCACTCTAAGACCTTCTCCTAAACTGAACCCTATTCACATGGGTCATTAAAAGGCAGTTGAGTTGCTGCTTTGCTTGCCTGGTCATCTTGATTTGGCTTTAATATGTTTTAAGTTCCATTGAACTTTTTTCTTCAGAGGGACAGAAATCAAGGTAACTCCAAATATTATTAAACTGTGGCACCAAAATGAGACATTGCTCACAGTTAATTGGCCAGGTCTGTGACTTTATCTCCTGCCTACTCCTGAAATAGTTAACGGTGTTGACATGTAAATTATCTTTACTCTTTGTTTAATAAAGAGCAGAAGTTGTTTCTTCCAAACAGGTACAGTCCACCCAATGAACCATTACACAAATACCCCAAGACTTGCTCCCAGCTACTTGGTTGCTTAATTACATACCCCACCTCTTCCTTATCAGACCAGGAACCCTATTTCATCAGCAGCAGAACTGTCACAGACACAACATAGCCAGCAGCGTTCCTCGGATAACTGCAATCCCTTCACCTCACACACGCTGCCAAGACACTGCTGGCCAACTCATCTCGTCAGGGGACATGGCTCTCACAGTGAGCACACCAGTGCTAGGCAGAATCTGCCTACCACAGTGCAGATTTCACCAGGGCTGGGATATTTGGGCATGGCAGAATTGCCATCTCCAAGGCTCACACATTTTCCAGTCTTATTTGTCAGCCCAGCAACCCCAGTAATCAAAACTGACAACAGCAATGGGAAAGAACCTCTGACACTATTTTGCTTCTGTATCCGTCCCAGTCAGGTGAACAGCTACCTGCCTTTGGGCTCCTTTGCTGCTTCTGGAGCCAGTTTAACTGGTTTGCATCTGGCATGGTCTGCTCTGCCAAAGCCAATAGTGCCTGGGGCACCCAAGACAGCCTGTTGTGCTTGTTGGTAGTGCAGAGGGTGCTTTGCTCTTGCTCAGTAGCTTTTCTGTTCCATGCTGGATGATCTTCTTAAGAAGGTTGCTACACATTTGGATGTCATCGATTGTTTTGTGACTGGGTGAGTTCTGGAACTGTTTTAAACCTCAGCTTGGTCAAAAATACAAAATGCTTGCATAAATAATGAAGTGGACGGAGAATTTCTGTTTCTAAAAGCTATCTGCTATTATAGACTTTAACACAGAAATCAAATTGCCTGTGTTCTGGCACAATGCAGGAAGATGCTCAAGGATGGGAATATGCCAGGAGGAAGCAAAAAGAACAGTGGGGATTTCTGTAGAGAAAATATCTGCAAATATCTGTTCAACTATGGCCTCAGTCAGGTGAGCATATCACAGTCAGATGAGCATATCACACTATCTGTGTAGCTTTGCTGTGAACCAGAGAAGGGAATTAAGTGCCTTTAGTTATTTTTATTTCTTACAGCTTGATTAGGTTCCTTATTCCCATTCCCAGGCACAGCTGTGCACACTAGCACAAGGGGAAGGATGCTGTAAATGAAATTTGGGCAGGTATAAACTCTGTGTATGTGTGCAGGGGGAAATTGTAGTGTTCAGCTACACAACAAACCACTACTACTGCTGAAGATAGTGCCCTGGTAGTGCCCGAGGCACTACCTCCCCTCAACAATAAAAGGGGGCAGCTGGAATATTTTTTTTGTGCCTGATTTTGGATATCCACTTTGCAGCATAGTCCCACAAAATGGCAAAGCTGAAGGAACAGGATGCAGCAGCTTGAAGTTGGGACAAACAGAAGGGGGATGCTGGGAGTTCCTGCAGCCTCAGTGTCTGCACAGGGAACCACAGCCTTGGGACTTCTGGCAAGCTGATGAAGTAATTTATGTGAAGGCTTGGACAGTAACTCAGCACAAATGAAGTTGTAGGTGTAATGATGTTTTGAATCAAAACAAACTAGTTCAAAATTTAAATCAATAGCAAGTGCTTAAAGCTATCATTCAGGAGAGAACTACTACTGGCATAATGGTCCACAGTTTTGAAATGCAGATCAGCAAACCTCTCTGAAGGCCATTTGTTGGGCTTCCTGTGAAAGTATATGTGGTTCCTGAGATAGGGCTTTAATGCAAAATGTGTATCAGCATATTCTTAACTGTAGGTATGTGAAGTCTTGTTTACCTGCATGGTTGAAATGAGACATAGGATGTTGTTTCACAATACTTTTACCTGACATAAGCCAGCACTGCTGCCCAAAATAGTGCAAGAGTGGAATTAGAAGGTCCAGTTGAGCCAAACTAACAGGTCATTGCTGCTGAAGGGGGGAGATTCTTCTATCCTTCTCCTCAGCCTGTCTCCCTGCCTGCTGGCCATGCACTCCTTCCACTTCTCTTGCCCTGGCTCTGTATTCCTCTGTTCCTTTCTCGAGCTGTTCCCGCTCCACTGCAGTTAAAACACATCAGCAGTTGTCCATGGTTTAGTGAGCTGAGCTGGCTCACTGCAAGGTCACTTGGACTTTAGGGATGCACAAGCAAGAAGGACCTGGCTCCACAGCTGCAGACAGGTGCAAAGGAGAGAGGGAAGGAGGGTGTGGGACTGATGTTTTTGGCAGCAGCAAGCCATTAAATCGGCTTGGCTGCCTCTTCTAGCTGGAAGCAGAGCTAACCCTGCTGCAGTCCCACACAGCTCTTGGTTTTGTCTCCCCCCCCCACCTCCCTCCTTGTGCCAGCACCAGCATTTGCACAGCCAGCCGATGAACTGTGCCAGGCTCCAAAGCCAAACCAGCCAAGCAATTGCTCAGCTTAACCAAGATCAGCGTCACAGATGAATGGCAAGGGGGCAGGAAGAGTGGGGCATGGGAGTGGAGGGAAGATACTCTGGGGTTTTATTTCAGCAGCAGAGGCTGCTTAAGGTGTTGGTGAAAGTACATCCCTGCAGGCCTGCTGCTGTGGTTAAGCCCTAGAAAATGAGACATCACCGAGTTTCCAGAGCGGATTTGCATGAAGCTCAGAGGGTAAAGGCAGTGGATTCCTCTGCTTCACATTTTGTTCCCTGACTTCTTCCAGAGGGTAACTTGACCCAGTTATCCATGTCAGGCAACCCCAAATTTCTCCTCCTGTTAAAATCACCCTATGATTTAGTAAGGAGTGTGGAAATGAATCACCTTGTCAAACAAATGGAAAAAAATACACCGCCTTTCACTTTTTTTAACAACGTCTTAACTGTTTGTTTGCTAGATATTTGCTTTAAAACATAATAACTGTTATTACTGCTGAGACAAACCCAGTGCAATGCCAAAAGCTAAACTGGATTCACTGTCGACTTTGCATTTTTAAATTCCAGTTACCCAGGCTGTCTGTTTTCAGTTCCAAATCATCACAAAACAACCAGTTTTATCTTCTCAAGAAATGTTGGATTTACTTGAAAGAACTTCATAGATATTAAGAGGTTGTTGGATGTGTTTTAGTGTTGGCTGTAATGGCTGAAGCTTAAAAGCTTGAATTTTAGATTACACTAGTCTAAGGAGGCTAGAGCCAAAAATGGAAAAGCTGGAGTGGCTTTGGGAGTGTAGCCCGCACATTGGCTGCAGGGCTGAATGCACAATCACACTTTTCCTCAAGAACAGCCCTGATAAGCTGCCCCACAGAATGCTCATGATGTGGCTTGGAGGAGGAATGGTGCAAGAGCTGGGCCCCTGAAAGGAACATCTGTATGGCTGTAACCTGCGGGGATGTGTTGGTGGGCTGCAGGGAGAGGCAGTGGTGGTGATGAGGAGGGTGTGAGGCTATGCTGAGGCTGCCACCAAACACCCCCTTCAGGGAAACCTCACCTCCAGCTGTGGCCTTGTTTACATGTTTTTAGGGCAACTGCTTTTTTATTTATGATTGGGAAAAAAATCCCTCAC